CAGCTCTAGGTGTGAGGGTCAGCAAAGACGAGGAAAGGGTGGTGACTTCCCCAGCACTCTGCCAAGCTATGCTCCAACATTCCCAAATAGTTCTTTGGCATTTCCACTACAAGATGGTACAAGCAGCACATGCTGCAACCTTCCATTCCTACCCCAGAGCCCTAGAAATAATAAAAATAAAATCTAAATCCAGGCAAGAAAAGTGATAGACTAGAAGCTTGAGCACTTCCTGTATGAGGGATTAAAGAAAATCACTGCCCAAAATGCTTGTCAGAAATGAAAGACATGATACAGGAGCAGGATGGGCCCCCGGGTCCACTGCCGGCGGGCACACTGTCTCCTGCAGCAGGAGTAAGTCAGCGGTGTGTGTGTGTGCGTTCTCACTGTGCATGCTCAGGTCAGGTGTCAGGTGTGGGCCTCGGGGTCTAAGAACTTCAGCAGTCGCCAGAGAGGCAGCCAACACCCAAGAAAACCAGGGAGCCTCGAAACCTAGAGCAGTAGCTGGGACACCCACCTGGCAGGTTTCCCCAGGTCTTGCCCCCCTCACTGGGGAAGAGCCGTCTGTGATACACTTAGCCAAGCAGGACTTCCCACTGCTTGCCCACTAGCAGGTAGCAGTAAAAGAGCATTCTTGATCAGACTAAAAGAGAAATGTCAAAAATAAAGACAGGGCCGGGCATGGTGGCTCACACCTGTCATTCCAGCACTTTGGGAGGCGAAGGCAAGTGGATCACTTGACGTCAGGAGTTCCAGATTGGCCTGGCCAACATGGTGAAACGCCATCTCTACTAAAAATACAAATATTAGCTGGGTGTGGTGGTGGGCACCTGGAATCCCAGCTACTAGGAGGCTAAGGCAGGAGAATCGCTTGAAACCAGGAGGCAGAGGTTGCAGTGAGCCAAGATTTCGCCACTGCACTCCAGCCTGGGTGATGGAGTGAGACTTGGTCTCAAAAAATAGATTAAAAAATGAATGAGCTTTCAGCTAAGAATCAACAAACATTTGAGAAATACTAAAGAGAGAGTTGCTACGCTGAGGAAACTGAAGACCTTACCCTGGAGGACAGACAAACGGAACAGGAAACCCAGAGCTATATACACGTAATTTCTATTTCGTGGGAGATATATGAGAACATTATGCCCAAGAAAAAATAATCAGCTAGATATGCTACAAATTAGAAGGCTGGACTGTCAAAATAGAAATTCAACAGGTGGGCCAAATAGCAGAATTGACGCAAGTGAAAAATAAATTTAAAAAGGAAGATTGGGTCGAGGAATTCTTTCACAGAAAGCAGTTCAAAAGGACAGACAGAAAGCATGAAAGAAAAATTAAGAGACACGGCAGCAGATCTAGAAGTTTCAATGTTCATGTAACAAGAATTCCACAAGGAGAGAATGCACAGACCAAGCTGTAGAGACTACTCAAAGGAATAAGAGAGAATAGTTTCTTAGAATATAAGAAACTCATGAATCTTTAAGAATACAACTGTGGGGCCGGGCGCGGTGGCTCACACCTATAATCCCAGCACTTTGGGAGGCCGAGGCGGGTGGATCACAAGGTCAACAGATTGAGACCATCCTAGTCAACATGGTGAAACCTCGTCTCTACTAAAAATACAAAAAATTAGCTGGGCATGGTGGCGCGTGCCTGTAGTCCTGGCTACTCGGGAGGCTGAGGCAGGAGAATTGCCTGAACCCAGGAGATGGAGGTTGCGGTAAGCTCAGATCGCGCCATTGCACTCCAGCCTGGGTAACAAGAGCGAAACTCCATCTCAAAAAAAAAAAAAAAAAGAATACAACTGGGGGTAGGTACAATGGCTCATGCCTATAATCCCAGCACTTTGGGAAGATGAGGTAGAAGGAATGCTTGAGCCCAGGAGTTCAAGACCTTGGCAATGCAGGAAGACCCCGCTTCTACAAAAAAGTTTTAAAAATTAGCCAGGCATGGTGGTATTTACCTGTGGTCCCAGCTACTCAGGAGGTGAAGGCAGGAGAATTGCTGGAGCTCAGGAGTTCCAGGTTGCAGGGAGCTATGATTGCGCCACTGCACTCCAGCCTGGGCAACAGAGCAAGACTCTGCCTAAAAAAAAACCCAAAAAACTGATCTTACTAATCTAGTTTTACTAATCTATAAGGGAAGTGAAAATCAAAGGAACTGGATACCATTTTCAACCATCAGATAGATAAAAATGAAGAACAGTACCAAGTGTTGTTGAGGGTATGGGGAAATGGTACTCTCATACTACAAGTATACAAAGCTTTGCTGGAGGGCAAATGGGCAGTAGTTACTAAAATTTTAAATGTATATAAACCTGGAATCTGTCCTAGAGAAATACTTGCATATGTACAAAAGGGGGCATATTTTAAAAATCAGAAACAAGCAACACAATGCTATCAAAATGGTTCAATAATCTGTGCTATGTTATTCTATGGGATTCTATCAAAATGGTTCAATATTCTGTGCTACGTTATTCTATGGGATTCTATCTAGCAAAATGGTTCAATAATCTGTGGTATGTTATTCTATGGAATTCTGTGCATTAGCTCCAGAGAATGAAGCAGGTCTATACATTACTGATATGAAAAAAAAAGCATCTAAAATACATGTTGAAAACAAAAAGCAGTTTTTAGAACAAAGTATAAGGTAAGAAACCATTTACTTAAAACAAAACTATTAACTGAAATTACAGATTTATGTAAATACACACATAAAAATTTGGAGCAATATCCATTAAACTGGTAACACTGAAAACCCCTGGGGAGAACAGTGGGATTCTGAGGTCTAGCTAAAGAGAACTAGGATTCATCTGTATATATATTTGACCGTTTTTTTTTTTTTTTTTTGAGACGGAGCTTCGCTCTTGTTACCCAGGCTGGAGTGCAATGGCGCGATCTCGACTCACCGCAACCTCCGCCTCCTGGGTTCAGGCAATTCTCCTGCCTCAGCCTCCTGAGTAGCTGGGACTACAGGCACACGCCACCATGCCCAGCTAATTTTTTGTATTTTTAGTAGAGACGGGGTTTCACCATGTTGACCAGGATGGTCTCGATCTCTTGAACTCGTGATCCACCCGCCTCGGCCTCCCAAAGTGCTGGGATTACAGGCTTGAGCCACCGCGCCCGGCCTATTTGACCTTTTTAAACAAGAGAAAACGTGGAGCCAGTTGCAGTGGCTCATGCCCGTAACCCCAGTGCTCTGGGAGCCCAAGACCAGCCTGGGCCACTGAGCGAGACCCTGTCTCTACAAAAAGGTAACAGAATTAGTCAGATGTGGTACTGTGTGCCTGTAGTCCCAGCCACTTGGGAAACTGCGGCGGGAGGATCAGTTGAGCCCAGGAGCTCTCCAAGCTGCAGTGAGCAATAACTGTGCCACTACACTCCATCCTGAGTGACAAAGTGAGACCGTGTCTCTATTTTTAAAAAGTTTATGTGTATTTCTTACATAATTACAGATAGGGAAACTTAAGGAAAACAAAGAAGCCTGTAGCAGTCAGATCTTATTAAAAAGGCATCAAAAATGATGGCTGCTGCTAAGTAACAACCCCTTCATTTCTTCTTTGCTGCAAGGTTAGCTGCAACTGTGATGGTCTCTGCCTTTTCAGTGTTCTACCTGTCCCGACTTCCAATAGAAAAGGCACTGAGTCAACTACTCATCCTCCTTTAGAATCCTCATCTTCCTTCTCTCTGAGTAACTATATTCCTTTCCACTGGATCTGAATCTGGGATTAAAACTCAACAGCAATAAGAAGGAAAGAATAAGGTTGGAGAGAAAGTCATCTTTTTATCATATCTGAAGTTTCAGTGGCTCACCATATTTTCTTTCTTTTCTTTTTTTTGAGATGGAGTCTCGCTCTGTCACCCAGGCTGGAGTGCAATGGCATGATCTCGGCTCACCGCAACCTCTACCTCCCAGGTTCAAGCAATTCTCCTGTCTCAGCCTCCCTCCCGAGTAGTTGTGACTACAGGTACACACCACCATGCCCAGCTAATTTTTTATATTTTTAGTAGAGATAGGGTTTCACCATGTTAGCCAGGCTGGTCTCAAACTCCAGACCTCAGGTGATCCACCTGCCTTAGCCTCCCAAAGTGCTAGGATTACAGGCATGAGCCACTGTATTTTCTAAAGACTGCCACAGCAATCTACCCCATCCCACATGCTTTTTGTAACAACATGACTTTGACATTCCTCCCATTAGCGGGGTGGGAGAAGACTATGTTCCTTCCTCTTGAATCTTAGCAGGCTTGTGACCATGGAAGAAATGATGCTATGAAATTTCCAAGGCTTGGTTCTCTTGGGATGCTCATTCTTGGAACCAGCTACCTTACCACGAGGAAGTCTAAGCAGCTCATGGAAGACAACAACAGATCCCAGCCCACAGCCTGGCTGAGCTCCCAGCTGAGAGCAAGCACCAACCTGCCAGCCATGAGAGCCCACAGCCTGGCTGAACTCCCAGCTGACAGCAAGCACCAACCTGCCAGCCATGAGAGCCCACAGCCTGGCTGAACTCCCAGCGGACAGCAAGCACCAACCTGCCAGCCATGAGAGCCCACAGCCTGGCTGAGCTCCCAGCTGACAGCAAGCACCAACCTGCCAGCCATGAGAGCCAGCCAGTGCATTCTCCAGTTCCCCTCTTGAGCTGCCTCGGCTCTGCATGGAGCAGAATCAGCTGATCCCCAGAGCCAGGCCAAATTATATGTGCAAAACAATTAATGTTTTAAGCTACTAAGTTTTATGCTGGTGTGTCACAAAGAAATAGAGAAACTGGAACAGTTTCTCTCACAAATGGGGACAACTGTAACTCTCTAACATAGGCAGCTGCAGAAGACATGGTGAGGGGTGTTGTCGGGGGACACCTGCACCACACAGTTAGATCAGGCAGCATCTGAGGTTCCTTCATACAGTAAGATTCTGCAGTGAACGTGCTGAGCTAAGTGCTTAAGCACTTCAGAGCTCCAGGTCCTTTTCTGACAGCGAGATCATTTCATCCAGTGACAGCTTACCTTTCAGAAAGCTGCCGGATCTGTGGAATCCCCATGTACTTGTGGAAGTGCTCCAGGACATTCATTACACCCTGAAGGAGATTAGCAACTTCTCCATATTGTCTTCGCCTGGTCATGGCTCTGCAAGGAAATAAGACGTGTAAAGGTCTAGAAAAACACTAAGGACACAAGATACAGATACAGAACAACCTACTCAAGCTCTAAAGCAGACATCAACTCAGTTTAATCAACATTCACTGAGCACTGAATACGTAACATGCTGTGCACTGGGGGAGGAAAAGTATAGGATATGGTCCAAATCCTCTAGGTGACATCACATAGTAAGGGAGAGAGTCAAGTACACATCTAACCAGTAGCAAATAGGATGAACCATGTTCTAAACAGAGTGACAAGTTATGTGCTATGGTGGATACAAAGGAATGCATGAGTGATGAATTTTCATTAGGTGTGGGGAGGGGAATCTGGGAAGACTATAGATTTAGAATTTGGGCTGGATATTATGGGACTAGCAAGCTTTGGACAGAGAAGAGGGGTAGGGATGTTACCATCTGAGGATTACAGCCTATGAGCAAACCAAACCCATCTGGGCAGGCGAGGTGGCTCACACCTCTAATCGCAGCACTTTGGGAGGCTGAGGCAGGCAAATCACGAGGTCAGGAGTTCAAAACCAGCCTGGCAAACATGGTGAAACCTCCATCTCTAATAAAATACAAAAATTAGCTGGGCATGGTAGCACATGCCTGTAATCCCAGCTACTCAGGAGGCTGTGGCAGGGGAATCACTTGAACTCAGGAGTGGAGGCTGCAGCTAGCCTAGATAGCGCCACTGCACTCCAGCCTAGCCAGCACTGTGAGGCCCTCCAACCCCCACACCCCAGCAAAAAAAGGGCATGCCCTTACCTATTAACTCCAGTCTGTAGGTTCTGAGGCATCTCTGTGCCACAGACCTCTGCTTTCCCTACTGCTAAGGTTAATGAAGCTTAAATAAAAGGATGCTGATAAAATCAAGTAACACAAAGGGAGGAAGGAAGTATAAACTATCAGATCTAAATTTTTCATTAGGGTTGGGCTGTTTAATTAAATTTGTAATTTATTATTTTCCTTAAGAGGTACTGAAAAAGGATCCAGTTTGAGCCAAGGTGTTAGGGTGCTACCACTGCCTGGTCCGATGGTTTGGTGGACAATGCAGACCACTTGAGGAAGGAACAAATGAGACTGCTCACCACCCCCCCCTTCTGGCTGCTGCTCTCACTGCTCACAGGAGGGTGGACCAGGGTCCCTGGAACTCATACAATGCCTAGCAGAGGTCAGGAAGGGGCCTGCCCCTCCTCCTCTTTCCCTCAAGGTACTCTCCCACTCCCCGCACCCAGGACGTTGAATGCTGTATCTCAGTTTCTATGAAGACTTTCCCCGAACACGTGGAATCACCCTGAGGCCACAGAGGTGAGCTGGAGTGGCAGAATCTTGCCAGTAAAAGAGGCTTTAGATTGCTTCTTTGTAGTAAATAACCAACTCTTCCTACTGTTCTCATGTACCATTCCCTCTACAAGCCAAACAGAAAGTTACTTTTCAAAAAGTAGATTGAAAAAAAAGAAGTGGTCTGAACGATTCAAAGTCCTGTCTCATATGGTGTCTTCCATGACAGCGCAACTCAGCCCAATACAGCAGGAAGCCTGCCGAGGCAGAAGCCACAGAGAGTGATGACAGGTCTGAGTCACTGCCCTGATGGTACAGAGCGAGAACCTGAAGATGAGCCACACTCCTGGAGTCATTCTGAACACCTTCCCGGGTCCCCTTCAGACTGGCTGCCAGCCTTTGTTAGGTTGTGAACACCAGAGGGCACAAAGCAAAAATGGTAACTGAACACTTGAAGCCAATTTGCAGAAAGTGGGGCAGGGTGGTAAGACTTTCCTGTCTGAGAAGTCAGTGAGCCCACAGTACATTCTCTCTACGTGATACATTTCCCGTGGCCCCAGCAGAGAAAGCTGGCATTGCTTACTCGAGGGAATCGACGCCTCCTGCCAACATGTGCAGGTGGTTCAGTGTTGTGATCGAGGTGGTCAGGTGGCGTTTCGCATGATCTAACTGCTTAATATCACGGGTGATTTCTTTCACCTAAACATTGGAAAGCCACAAGAAAGGAATAATATTAAGAAAGATGTAAACACTTTTGCAAGTAGCTCCATGAGAAACTAATACAGATGAAGCAGGGAAAAATCTCAGGTTGGCAAACATTCTCACAATACAAAATCAAAACAACTTCAAGACAACTTCCAAGCAGGCATTTAAACGTAATGTGGCATCTCTCTGGACTTTGCTCAGAGTTATAAAACCTTTAGTTGTGAGCATGAAATAAACTTTATTTTTTGCCCCAAATGAAATGATCCAAACAGCAAATCAGTATTGAACATACAGGACAGAGGCAGCGAGCACAGTGCATTTCCTCCTAAGTGAGGTGAGAAGAGGCTGCCTTCTGGTGCTGAAGCTGCGCACCAGTCAGTACACTGTACTCAGACGGTCTTTATTAATGGAACTAGGGCCTATGGCCTGGTTCCAGCAAAGAAAAGACTTACTCTCAAATCTCAAAACGACTGAAATATAACCCCCAGTAACACATGCTTAACATGTAAGGTACCAAGAGGGCAGAGCAGACTTCAGGGGTGAGAAGGCAATTTGGGGAACAAGGTCCTGACAATGTTGTTTCAGCAGGTCCAAGAGAAAAGACACTATCTCTGGGGATGCAAGTGTATTTCAGGCACTAGGAAAGCATATTCAACAGACAAGTGGGAAACCTACCACTTTACCAAATACTTGAATTTGGGGGAAAAAAACAGCCAGGAGCGGTATAATAAACTAGATATAGAAAACAGAAGACCGGCCCTGTAATCTCATCACCCACTTCCAACTCTGAGATCATCATCCTATTTCCTACAAAAAAACCTCTGTACCTCTTTCTGGGTTTCTTAGCTTCAGTCCTAACATCAGTGGTCTTTATCTATTTTTTTTTTTTTTGAGATGGAGTCTCCCTCTGTCATCCAGGTTGAAGTGCAGTCGTGCGATCTAGGCTCACTGCAGCCTCCATCTCCCAGGCAAGCAATTCTCTGCATCAGTCTCCAGGGTACCTGGGATTACAGGCATGCATCAAGATGCATTTTTGGATGCTCATTTTTGGATTTTGCCATGTTGGCCAGGCTGGTCTTGAACTCCTGGCCTCAAGTGATCCACCCCCCTCTGCCTCCCAAAGTGCCGGAATGACAGGTGTGAGCCACTGTGCCCGGCCACATTGGGGGTCTTTAACCACCGTGTTCGAAGTCACAGTCCTCTATGACTCTTCCTAGTCCCTGCATCAGTAAGTCATTAAGCCCTAAAAACTCTTCTTCTGTGTCATTTCCTATTGCCTTTCTTTCTCTTCCTTGTTCAGTCCCTCACTGCTCTGCACTGCAGCTGACTGGTCTCTTTGTTCCCAGGATCTCCCATCACTCCCCGTCCCACAGCCTGTGCTTCTCTAGGCAAACCAAACTACTTATTTTTCCCTAAACAAAGCCTTCAAAGGCAGGGCACACAAGGGGTACTCAGGTCAAACTACAAGAGACCATGTGCAAAAGAGAATGCCATAGCTGATTCACCTCAACTGTTGCCCATGAGCAGCCAAGAAAGGACAGAACACGAAGTGGCAGGTTTGAGAGACAGACAGATCGGGGACTGAGTCCCAGCTCTACCACTCACCAGCTCTGCCTCCTATGACAGGTTTCTCAGCCTCACCAAGTCTGTTTTCTCAATCTATAAAATGGGTACTTGCAAAGATAATAATGATCATAAAATCTAGTTCATAAGGTTGTTATAAGGCTATCTTAGCGTGCCAGTACAAAGAAACCAGCGCGGCGCTGGTACACTAAAAGAGCTCAGCAAAGATCACTTTTCCCCTCACGCCGATGTCTCCTCCCTTCAGCAAAGCACTGACCAGGAAAGTGAACTGCCTTAAGAGAGACATCTAATAACTAGGGAGCAAACTGCCACTGCAAAGCCCCTCAGCTGGAAGAGGAAGCAAGTCCAGAATACAGACTAGCATCAAGGACATCGGCAAAGGCAATAACCTCAAGCGAAAGCAGGACTGGACACTGTCACTGAAACATGCTTCGAGGATGCCTGGGTGCTGCTGAGTATAGTGCATCCTCGGGGAAGGACCACAGAATCAGGTCGCTAGGACTCGGCTCAGTGCTCTCCATACCTTTAATTCTCACAACAACCCTGTGAAGCAAGTGCCATTATCCTCATTTTACAGTTGAAGACACTGAACTTCTGAGACAACTGAGAGACAGGACATTATTTAGTCAGATTGTGAACTCTGGATTTCTAGCACTCCCCAGTGCCTCCCATGGAGGAGGAAAGGGTGAATGCTGGGTTCTCGGAATTCAAGGCAAGCATTTGAACACAGCACTGGGGGACACAAATTAGTCAAGGGAGAATTCCCCCAAAACCACATACAGGATCACGGGAGACATCCCTCTTCCCAGATATGGGAGCATATTCTCTGTGTGCCACACACACGGATCACGGGCAGGAAACATCCCTCCTCCCAGATCCGGGAGCGTATTCTCCGTGTTCCACACACACGGATCACTGGCAGGAAACATCCCTCCTCACAGATCCGGGAGCGTATTCTCCGTGTTCCACACATATGGATCACTGGCAGGAGACATCCCTCCTCACAGATCCGGGAGAGTATTCTCCATGTTCTACAAACATGGATCACTGGCAGGAGGCATCCCTCCTGCCAGATCTCAGAGCATATTTTCCGTGTTCCACACACATGGATCACGGGCAGGAGACATCCCTCCTCCCAGATCCAGGAGCATATTCTCCATGTTCTACACACATGGATCACAGGCAGGAGACATCTCACAGATCCAGGAGCATATTCTCCGTGTTCTACACACATGGATCACAGGCAGGAGACATCCCTCCTCCCAGATCCAGGAGCATATTCTCCGTGTTCTACACACATGGATCACGGGCAGGAGACATCCCTCCTCACAGATCTGGGAGCATATTCTCCGTGTGCCACACACACGGATCACAGGAGACATCCCTCCTCCCAGATCCAGGACCACATTCTCTGTGTCCTACCAAGGGACATACTGTACACCTTGACTGAGAAATACATGATACGAACAAATGTTAGAGAAAGGAATCCACTTCAGAGGGATAGCTTGAAAATTTTAAAAAGAAGAGAGAGAAAGGAATCCACAATGACTAGGAAACTATTTTTGAGAAAGGAGAGAAAAAAACAAAATGTTGCCTATTTAAAACCAGGGCTGCCAAGGCAGGGCAGCAGAGATGGTGAATCACTGCTGTCCAGCAAGCAGCTCCCCTTGAATTGATCTGAACGCATTGACAGGGGCTTGCTTCAGAGATGCAGATGACTGTGGCTGCAGGAGTGGGAGAAAAAGCCCATTATTAGAATGCCTGGATGAGCAGCTCACTTCTCTCTTTTGTTGCAAAAAAGTTAGGAAGAAACCAGAACTCACCATTTGCTCTGATTTTTCAGCTTTGTCTTTGATATCTTTGATTTTGCCAAAGAGTTGCTGGATAGCTTTCTGAGCCTCTTCAAGTGCCTAGAGTAAGAGAAATACGTGAAAAACAAAAACCAACCTGAGACAGCTGAACCATAATCAACTCCAGGCACAAAAGAAAATTTCCATAAAGCTCTCTTGATTCATCGTATTTATGCCAACATTGTGTTTCCCGCACACAGGCAATCGGAACTCTTACCAATGTGCCTCACAAAGTTTTAATTTAAAACTAAATGATTCCCCTCTATCTCAGTGACTACTGTACATGTTGCTGACAACAATAGGACGCGTATATCTCTGTGTGTGGCTGTGGGTGTGTGCAAGCACAATTGTGCAGTTACCTTCTAAGCCTCATACAGAGGGACAGAGATAGCTCTAAACTGGGGCGAGGGGAAAGCTCTGGACTTGGAAGTTCCAGAACGCTGTGCATTCAAAACACCTGGAGAGTGAATGGGGACTCCAGAACTGCAACAAATCTTAAAGACATTTACAGTACCCCATTTGAAAACCAATGCAACCGAGTTAGAAAGGAATGTTTAAAGCTAACAGTGGCTCACACCTATAATCCCAGCACTTCAGAGGCTGATAATGGAGGATGACTTGAACCCAGGAGTTCAAGACTAGCCTGGGCAACATGGAGAGACTCCGTCTCTGCAAAAAAAGAAAAAAAAAAGTTAGCCAGGCATGGTGGTGCACGCCTGTAGTCCCAGCTATTCAGGAGACTGAGGTGGGAAGATTACTTGAGCCTGGGAGGTCAAGGCTGCAGTGAACCGTGATCATGCCACTGCACTCCAGCCTGGTGACTGAGCAAGACCCTGTCTCAAAAAGCGAACAGAAAGCTAATGGTGAGCCCAGTATTTCCACTGAAATAAAAACCTACAAAGATGGATGCTACACAATAAAAGTATTACAACCCCGCTGCAGCTTCTGCCAGGAGGGAAAGTAGTGAGTGCAGTTGTGAGAGAGCGAGCAGGCCACATACGCGTAGACGACATGTACCTGACTGTCCCGTGACTAAAGACTACCTATAGCTAAAGTGCTACTGTGAATTCCTGCAGCAGTTACAGTACAAGGCATGAGTCGGCATCTCCTTAAGTCACTCTTCAATCATTCAGTATTTACTGAATGCCTCCCACACACCAAGCATGACTCTAATCACTAGGAATCCAATGGTAGACAAGACAGTATGGTGTTTCTCTCTGTCCTCAAGGAACAAACTGACTTTGAAAAGTAAGTAAGAGGGCGGAGATCCTGGAAAAACAACAAAACAAAGAAACAAAAAAATTCCCAAGTGTGACAGGTAATGAGAATAAGGGAGATGGTGGTCATGGAAGGTCTCCTGAAAAAGGGCACATGAACCAGGACCTGCAGGACGAGGAGGTGTCAGAATTTGTCGATTTGGAGTAAGAGGATTTTCAGTGGAGAAAACAGCAATTGCAATGACCCTGATAGAGAAAAGACCTCAGTGTTCTGGTCCAAAAAGACAGCAGGTGGTAGTGTAAAATCGCAGTGGGAAGTGTCTAGAAACAATCTGGAGAGGTAAGCAGCAGCCAGAGCATGGAGGGCCTCTGGTCTAAGTGCAAATGAGAAGCCACTGAAGGTTTTACACAGGGAGGGACGGACAGTTTACTCATATGAAAAACTGTCCTGGCTGCTCTATGGTGAAGGGGCTGTGCAGAGGCAGGAGGGAAAGACCTGTGACAAAGCTGCTGCAACTGTCCACATGAGCCAGTGGAGGTCTAGATGAGGCAGCCGGTGGTGATGGGAAGACATGGAGTGATTCAGGGTTTCCAGGGAGGTATAATGCACAGGACTCACTGACGGACTGCGTGTGGGTGATGACGGAGAGGGAAGAACCAAGCACTATTCCTGGGGTTTAGTTTGAAAACCCAGGGACAGGGTGCACTGACTGAACGAGGGAAGATGGGAGGATGTCGGGCTTGACAGGCAGGTGTATGTGGCACGGCTGGAATGAAGAGTCCGTCTGCAATGTGTGAAGGGGACGTGGCCTGCGCTAGGGCTGGAATGAAGAATCCGTCTGCAATGCATTAAGGGTGCATGGCCTGAGCTAGGGCTGGAATGAAGAGTCCGTGTGCAATGCGATAAGGGTGCGTGGCCTGTGCTAGGGCTGGAATGAAGAATCCGTCTGCAATGTGTTAAGGGTGCGTGGCCTGTGCTAGGGCTGGAATGAAGAGTCCGTCTGCAATGCGATAACGGTGCGTGGCCTGTGCTAGGGCTGGAAAGTGTCCCCAAACTTCATGTGTTGAAAACTTAATCCCCAATGCATCAGCGTTGACTGGGGGCCATCACGAGGTAATTGGGTTACAGGGGTTTGTCCTGGTGAGTGAGTGAATGGCATCATCTCAGGAGTGGGTTCTTGACAGAAGGGCCTGTTCAGCCACTTTCTCAAGTGTGTGCACACCTTCTTGCCCCTCCATCTCTGCCATGGGATGCTACAGTAAGAAGGCCCTTGCCAGATGCGGGGCCCTTGACCTTGGACTTCCCAGCCTCCAGAATTCTAAGAAACAAATACTTTCTTTATAAATGATTCAGTGTGTACTATTCTGTGATGGTGACCTAACACAGACTAAGAAAACTGGTATCAAGAAGTGGGCTACTGCTATAATAAATACCTGAAAACGTGGCTTTGGAACTGGGTAATGAATAGATGCTGGAACAGTTTTGAAGTGAACGGTGGAAAAGTCTGTACTGCTGTAAACAGAGTGCTAAGGGTGATTCTGCTAAGGGCTCAGAAGAAGAAATGGAGAGAAAGTCTGGAACTTCTTAGAAATTACTTAGTGGTTGGGACCAGAGTGTTGGTAGAAACAGACAGTAGGCTGGGCTGGGGGCTCACGCCTGTAATCCCAGCACTTTGGGAGGCCGAGGTGGGTGGATCAACTGAAGTCAGGAGTTCGAGACCAACCTGGCCAAAATGGTGAAACTCCTTCTCTACTAAAAATACAAAAATTAGCTGGGTGTGATGGCATGCGCCTGTAATCCCAGCTACTTGGGAGGCTGAGGCAGGAGAATTGCTTGAACCTGGGAGGCAGGAGCTGCACTGAGCTGAGATAGCACCATTGTACTCCAGCCTGGACAACAAGAGCAAAACTCTGTCACCCTCACAAAAAAAGATACCTTACTTGAGATCAAGTAGAGATATTAAATTGGACATAAGAGTCTGGAGCTTGGAAGAGAGGTGATAGGTTGGGGTTTAAATTTAGAAGTCATTACTTTAGAGATGATATTTCAGTCTGTAAGATTAGAAGAAGTCATATAGGAAGAGAGAATAGACAGAGAAGAGAAGACAGCATGAAGCTAACCCTTGGGCACGCCAATATTCAAAAGGCTAAAATGAAAAAGAGAAGCAGAGATGCAGAGAAAAACCATCAGTGACATGAGCAAAAATCAGGGACTATGGCTGTTACAGAAGCCAAACAAAAGTGTTTGGAGGAGGAGGAGGAGGAAAAAAATGATTGTCTTCTGTTGTTAAAAACTCATATAAGGCCGGGCATGGCAGCTCACGCCTGTAATCCCAGCACTTTGGGAGGCCAAAGTGAGCAGATGGCAAGGTCAGGAGTTTGAGACCAGCCTGGCCAATATGGCGAAACCCCGTTTCTACTAAAAATACAAAAATTAGCTGGGCGTGGTGGTGTGCACCTATAATCTGAGCTAATCAGAAGGCTGAGGCAGGAGAAAAGCTTATACCTGGGAGGCAGAGGTTGCAGTGAGCCAAAATCACACCACTGCACTCCAGCCTAGGCAACACAGTAAGGCTCCATCTCAAAAAAATAAAAACCCATATAAGACGAAGACAGAGAACTGCTACAATTTTGACAACAGGCAAGTTGTTGGTGATCTTGACAAGAGCAGTCTCAGTGGAGTCACGGGAACGAACAGTGATAAGGTGACGAAGGAGAGGCCATGGTAACGGAGCAGGCGCCAGCAAATGATGGCCTGTGGGCTGAAGCCGGTCTGCCATCTGTTTTTGTAAATAATGTGTTTTTGGAACACAGCCAAATCCATTTGTTTAAATATTGTTTATGGTGACTTTTGCCACACAATGGCAGAGAAATAGTTGCAACAGAGACCATACAGTCAGTAAAGGCTAAAATATTTATTATCCAGCCCCTAATGGAAAGCTTGCTGACCTTGGTATATACTCTGTTTTCAGGAAATGTTTTCTATAAGAGAAGAAAGATGGGGCAATAGGTGGGGTAGAGGGAGCAATTTTTAAAGATGAGAAATGCTTGCACACATCTGTTTGGGAATGATATGGCAGAAGGGAAATTTATTTGGGGGTAACGGGTTAATTACAGAGAGCATTTTTTTAAACATGATGTTCTCGAATTGTTTAGGGCAGGGTCCCCAGACCCTTGGCCATGGGTCAGTACGGGTCCCTGGTGTGTTAGGAACCGGGCCGCACAGCAGGAGGTGAGCAGCAGGTGCCTGGTGTGTTAGGAACTGGGCCGCAGAGCAGCAGTGAGCGGCGGGCAAGTGAGTGAGCATGACCGCCCGAGGTCCGCCTCCTGTCAGTCAGCGGCGGCATTCAATTCTCATGGGAGTCCGAACCCTACTGTGAACTGCACACACAAGGGATCTGGGTTGTGTGCTCCTTAACAGAATCTAACCAATGCCTGATTATCCGACCTAGAACACTTTCATCCTGAAACACTGTCCCTCTCCCTGGTCCATGAAAAAGTGTCTTCCAAAAAACTGGTCTCTTGCGCCAAAAAGGTCAGGAACCACTGGTTTAGTGTATAAGTACTAGCCCTTTAGCAGGGTTATAAGTAACTTCTAGAATGGGGGCCAAGGATATGAACAGCATTCCTGCATGTCCCATAGCTAAGCCAATCCTCCATTTGGTTTACCGGGGACAGGCTGAGTTTATGATCCGGTATAATTACTAAGAGCTCCCGCTCCTTCTCAAAGTGACCCTGGTGATAAATTATATGGTCACCTTACCTACAGCATCTAACAGATGCTACAGCACAGTGGGAACCTGGTAAATACTGTCTGTGATTCAAAGTATCACGGCGCACCTG